TCAAGGACAAAAGGATTGTGAATTATGAGTCGAATTTTTCTGACTGTTGTAGATCCCTACCAAATGTTTGGAGCGACGAGCAGTCGGCTCGCGAGCTCCGGTTCCGGTCAGATTCAACTCTGGCAATTTTTACTTGAGCTACTGTCGGATTCGAGCAACGCCGCGTGCATTACGTGGGAAGGAACCAACGGCGAATTTAAGTTGACTGACCCCGACGAGGTGGCGAGACGTTGGGGCGAAAGGAAGTCCAAGCCTAATATGAATTATGACAAATTGTCGAGAGCTTTGAGGTGAGTGACGTCTTGACAATCCTCCTCTGACATCTGAAACACATAACAGTGATATTAATCTTCCATTAGCGTATCTTGTGCGGAAGACATTAGTACATCCTTCGTTAACATTGTAAATTTGTAGATACCCTCACTACTTTTTTATAAGTGAGAATGAAATTTATAAAATTCCAACAAAATTGGTGCAAGTGTAGTTTCTTTCAAAAAAGGGAAATTAATTTTGGGGAATGATACATGCTTAGCTAGAGGATTTTATTGTAGATTTCTAAGAAATTTTTATAAGTAGATGTAGTATGTATAAATGTACACATGCACATGTTATATATGTCCCTGACTTTAATGAAAATATAATATACCGTCAATTGATATTTATGAAAACTTTGATATTACACTATTTCTTTCAGTTAAACTTTAACTTTAAAGATTCATGCCATTTGTACCAATTTCTCTATAAATTTTCCAAATAAAAAAGCACTGAGCACTTGCTCATTACCACGCGATTAAACCGCAGCTCTGAAGGGGGTAAACGTTCGCAGGGTGAGAAAAACGCGGGCGAGAAACGTCAATATTTAACGGGTAGACGTCCGCGCGGAAGATCCGGAGAGAAAGTAAATTCGTTGATCGAAAGAGGATGGTAGCGCGCAACGATGGCATGGCGGTGGTGGTACAGAGAAGCCAGGGGAGAGAAATTTCAATCATCGACAGTCAGACCGACGGCAGACGCGGCTATTATTTTTCGATCAGATCGACTGATTATATTACGCTAGACTGCTCCACTCACTCATTCTCTCTCTCTCTCTCTCTCTCTCTCTTCCTCTATCTATCTCTCTATCTCTATCTCTTTTTTGCTTCTTCTGTTTCTACCCACCACCACTATTGCTACCCCTTCATATAGCAAGTTTCTGGCTGTGACGCGCGACAGTAACTCGATAAAAAAAGAAAAAAGAAAAAAAAAAGGAGAAGAAAAAAAAGAAGCGCTTCCGTCGTCGCGGAAGCGGAGTCGTTATCGGCGCTGGCAAATAGAATTTATTAAATAAGGATCTCCACGCCGGCTGCGTGCAGATTTTTACGGCTTCCAACGAGTTCGTAAATCGCTGGTTTATGGCGGAGCGTGGTTTCGCTCGATCGTATCGCGACCGGCATGAAATAAGAGGATGGAAGGATGATAGACCTTGTTATACGACTTCAGTCTTACGGATCTTGTTCTTGTGCTTTACATCCTTATTTTCGTTTTCGTTCGGGAATTCAGTGCAATGAAGAAGGAACGAAGGAGAGCTCCCTGATCTGAAAGATAATAAATAAAGAATCATTGCTTGTTTATAGGATTTATATGCCTTTGGAAATTGGAGCTGGAAAATTATAATAATTAAATGATAATAATTAAATGATTTTTCTAAAAAGAATCTGTGAATTTGCAAATCTTTTATGCTCGTTAAACAAAAATCTCTCTATACATCACAATACTACTTAAAATTTTCTTCATTGTCCGTCCTTTATCATTATTACAAGTTATTATACATTAATACATTTTCCCTTGTTAAATAATAAAACAAAATCTGGTCCCCTTGTTTCCAAACTAATTCTCAATTGGTATCAAATCAGTCTTCCTATGTATCTACTATTGATAACTACTATTATCAATATACTATTGATATTGACTTATTATGTTGAAACAGGTGAAATTCATTTAATCTAACAAAAGTCACAAGATCTTTTACAATCCGACAAGGTATACCGGTTCAAGCGAATCACCGCCAAAAATATATAATGTTCATGCATCCAGCTTGCATCGAGGCAACCCGTATCTGCTTGCAGGTACTATTACGACAAGAACATCATGACAAAGGTCCACGGGAAGAGGTACGCGTACAAGTTCGACTTCCAGGGTCTAGCGGCAGCGACGCAGCCTGCGGCTGCGGACCCAGCCGCGTACAAGTACCAAAGCGAGCTGTTCATGTCCGGTTACGGGCACGCAAAATTGAACCTAATGCCGCCACCGGCCGCCTCTGTGTCGGTCTCCGTTCCAGGAGGGCTTTTCCAATCGGCCTCCAGCTACTGGTCCACGAGTCCGGGTGCCAACCTGTACGCGGGACACCATACGGCTTCTGGCCATGTGCCGCCACATTTGGGCACCTATCCGCACTACGCATGACCCACCGCCGAGCACTGGGGCGCCCTGGGTACGCCACGTTAACAAGTTTCTACTCGAGGGAATTTAAACCGACCGCCGCCATCGCGGTCTACGTGTGCCGTCGGTCTGTGGATCCCGCGAATAGACCATACCTCTTGCAATTGCTTGCAACTGTCATGCTCCGATGATCGGTGATGCCGTTTTATCTGTCCTCTTGTAACAACTTTCAGTTGTTTAACACATTTGGGTAACAACTGTTTGCCTCTATTCTCGTTTCTCCTGAAAGCATTGAGTATTACATTATCGATATAGTTTTACAGTTTTCGAAAATACGCGTTAGAAAATGAAAGATTTGTAATTATGTTGAACTTTGCAGAAATCACTGTCTTAAGGATTTTGCGCTATATCACGGTGTGATATGAGAGATACAGTGACTTTAATACATTGTGAAAATGCAGCTTTATAGCTCTCTAATCTACGAATAGCAATGTTTTTCTCTAAGGAAAGTGGAATATTCGTTTTGGAGAATTACGTGAATTAACTCTGTGTTTAAATACACATTAAATTTTCCTAACAAAAAGCTATTTAATGTTGACAATAGAACCGTTGCATTCGAAATTGGCAATAGAGCAAAGTGAGAATCGTTTGAAAATCGTAGATTACTTGAATATATAAATACATAAAATATTATAATAGCTTTCTCTCTTGCGACCACTCAACGATAGAAACATTCTGTGACATTATTTCCGCAAGACTGGAGCGTTTTGTTCATGCAGGCGTGGATCTTGATAGAATCCATTCTTACACGATGTCCACTGGTTTCTGCAAAATGAAACAACATTGAATTCTAACTCTGGATTATTGGTATATCACTGGGCGATAAAAGCCAAATGCTGTCGAAATAAAATACTTGATGCACGATTTGAATAATCCGTTTCCTAAGTTTTTGTGCTTTCATTCAGTCGAGCGCGCAAAGCAAGTCGACAGATTAAAACTAAACCCGACTAATCAGCAATGTCATATTCGCTGCCTCGAGCAATTCGATCTGGTTCCTTGGCAACAAGTAGCGACTAATTCGAATCGCTGACGTAAAAATCAGATGATCACATCACGCGACCATTCTGCCACCCAAAAAGCTCTCGTTCACGGCCGACGGTGCGCTCGAATTATTGTAAGAACGTTGTACATACAATATAATGGATTACGTAAGTACAGGGTACGTTCGCAAGACGATTCTCATCACTCGTTTTATCACGATGATATCTAGTATACAGTCATTCGCGACAAAATTTGTGCAATAATAGGATATTGTAGGAATAATTTATACAATTTACTTTTCCAAATATGAAGAGTTCCTTTTGTTTCTATATTGTTTTATCTATGTTGTAGATCATAGAGAGCATTCAAAGTGTCAATCATTCGGCCTGCCCAATTCTATCGAATTATTAACTCGCGATGCAATCGTTGTTACTCGGAATTGTTTGTCCGAACAATTTTAAAACATTCCAGATAACAATAATAATTCTGCAGTTAATCCCGAAGCTTCGGTCGCAATGTTTCACTGTAATTGATGAATTCGAACAGTAATATTTTAATATTGAAACTATTTTGATTCGATGTTCCTCAACAATCATTGACGATAACGCCGCGATGAACCGCGTGTCGAGAATTATCCTGTCCGAAAGGACGTCGCCTTGTACGCGAATAACAAACCGGCGTACTTCCGTGGAGAAACGTCGGCGTTTCCGGCTGGATGGAATCGAACATGCGCATTTTAACGAGGAATATCGCCGCGCAGAGGCGCGATCCGGCAATTTCATGAACGTTGCTCGTTGAATCGACGATGATGACGATGAAACCATAGGCAAGCATCACGGCGATCGGCGATATAATCGGACACATCCAAATGAGCTTGATCGTTCTTGAGTTCGCGAAATGTTTACATGTTCGATTCGGGCCAAGAGCAACGCGTGTATTATAAACTCTTTTAACTTATTTGTTACGTAATGGGGATGTAGATAGAGGAACCGCATGTCGTCGTTCCAGAAGAGAGAAAAAAAAAAAAAGAAAATCATCGCGAATCACGTTGCTCGCGTTGTTGGCGCGAGTTTAAGGAACCAGTTCATTCAACGATCAAACACACGTGCATAATAGAATTCCATTTGTCTGGATTTCATTTAGTTGAATAAAATTTGAATTAGAATCTACTTTGATTATCTCGATGAGAAGATACAGTGAGATCTAATGTACACAGCTGTAAGAAGGAGAAGAATTCCAAGAAAAATAAAAATTCTTCTTAATTAATATAGAACTCGGTACATAAACTAGGGAAGTTTAATTTGCACGAAGTATTTGATATTTCAGTAGGAGGAGAATATCTTTTGGATTATGTATGGGTCAACATTTTTAAACATTTCTTCAATCATGGACGTAGTCATACGCTAATAAACTAAACTTCTAACTGTTTTCAAATCTAGATAAATGAAATTCTCTTATACGTAGTTTCCTTTTCTTCGCACGATCATGATTTCATGGCCGCGGAAAAAAAAAAAAAGAAAAGAAAAACGTTAGCGACCAACGAAATTTCTACGTGGATCATGAGTTCAACTATGCAATCGTGAAGTCTCATTTTCAATTCATCCGGAAATAATAAATATAGAAATGTGTGTCTCTCTTGATCCTGGGATAATTTCTGAGATTATTTGTCTGTAACAATGATTTGGCGGATTACCTGAAAACAATCAAATAAATATTTCTCAAAATAAAAATTTCATCTCATTAATATTTAGGATACTTATATAATGAAACTTACTCATCTATAGTTCTGATAGGAATACCAATTCTAAATATATAAGCGTACAATTCCTGTAGAAATAATAAGTTTAAACACTTCTCAATTAGATCAACGTTTACGAATCAAATATTGGTTTGCTCCCTGGTTTGAAGATTCATTTTCTCAAAAAAAAACAATGAGTCAGAGAATCTCTACATTGCGACTACGTTTTATATATTATAATTTCAAAATATCACATAATCGATGTCGATCTCAGAACTGATTCCAGAATCGGCACAACATGTACTTCCTTGCCACGAACCGAACACCACCAGAAGAACCAATAAACCAGCGACAAATCCCGGGTGAACATAGCGCATCCATCAATCCAACGGAAGCCCGAGTTCGCAATTACCGAGATTGATAAAGTACAACGTTGAGTCATATCAAAAACCGAACGTACGAAATCCTGAACCGCGTTCATCACGCCGATCCTCACGTCGATCAATCGAGAGATGCGGTCGCTCTGTCTATATACAAAATACATAGGGGTAGGTCTCCAATCGAATCCTGTGTACCAATCTTGAACAACAAACGAATAATATGAATAAATAATGTGAATAAATAGAGAGGAAGAAGCGGAGTTAAATAAAAAAAAAAAAAAAAAAAAAAAAA